CTCTGTCTCTCTCCCTCCCTTCCCCCCTCTCCATTCTCTCTCTCTCTCTCTCTGTCTGTCTCTGTCTCTGACTCTCTCCCTCTCCCTACTTTGTACCTATAAGCACTCCCCAGGAAAGTCCTGGTTCTCAAACTTATTACTCTCTCTCTCACACACACATGCTACCTTCTAGTCCAATAAGCCTTCTCCATGTTCTCTAAATATCAGAGAGGATTAAGAAAGTGCCTAGTAGGGGCCAGGCTAGTGCTAAGTGCTCTTTAAAAATATTATCTCATTTGATCATCGCAACAACTCTGCAAGGTAGGTGGCTGTTATCTCCATTTTACATTTGAGGAAACTGAGGCAGATAGGGGCAACTAGGTGGTGCAATGGATAGAGAACCAGAGGAGGCATTTAAATGACTGCTTTGTTGAATTACAATGGAAGTTTGAGCTGAAATCTGCTTCCCTGTCACCCACCAGTTCCAGTTTTACCGAGCAGAAAAAGCCTCTGCCACATCACAGGCATGTGGATACCTGAAGACAGCTCCCCTGTCCTTTCCAATGAGAGACCTGTGGATATCTGAAGGTGGCTCTCCTGCCCATCCACATCACAGGCCTCTGGATATCTGAGCGCAGCTCTCCTGTCCATCTGCATGAGACCTCTGGATATCTGAAGGCAGCTCCCCTGTCCATCCATGACAGGCTTCCAGTTATCTGAAGGCAGCTGTCCTGCCCCCCCCCCCCCCCAACTTCTCTTTTTCAGGTTAAACATGCACAGTTAATGCATTGTCTGCTTGTCCGCTGGATAGCATGTACTTTTGATTTGTTTTAGGACTGCACCTGAGAGAAAACTCAGTGAGGAGCCACCATTGGTAAAACCAACGCAGATCAACATCCATTCTGCGATTTATAGTCTTAGGGAGTCAGTGGGGCACTGCTCGGGTAAGGGACTTGCCCAAGGTCTCAAAACCAGCATGTGACTGAGGCAGGAAGTGACCCAGGTCCGACTCCAAGGTCTGCTCTTTGTCCACAATACCATGCCAGGGTATCTCTTATAGACTCAAGCATCACAAATTAATTCTGATTACTTGGGTGTTGTGGTGGTAAGGAAGGTGAAACGTGGAGGGAAATTCCAGAATGATTAACACTGGGATTATGGAAAAGGGAATGTGGTTCTCTTACTTTTAAGGGTGACTATGACCTAGGCTAACAAGAGTTGTTCCCTAGGACAGCAGCTCTCTTATATAGTAGCAGAGATGTGATTCACTGGGAGGTGTTCCCTACTTGAGTAAAATCACTGGTCCAGTAAAAACAAAGACACAAACAAATAAACGAAAAAATAATTAATTGGGGAAAATATTACCAGAAAGGAAGAATACAAACATTTAAAAAAAAAAAGACTAGTCCTTGCCCTCAAACCAGTGACTTTGAGCATCCAAGAAAATACCCAGACTGAAGCTGGGGGTCATTTTTCAGTTGCTTGATGGTGACCGGGAGTGCAGCAAATTTGGAAAACTGATTCTAGGCCATCCTAGGGGAACCCAAAAAGAGCCTGCCTGAAGGATACATTCCAAAAAATGGGTCTTTAAATTCAAAGCCAGTCCCAAAACTGATCAAACAATGTCCAAAGGTGTTTTTACTCAACAGAAATAGAATTTGAAATGTAACACGGCAGAAACGTGAATGTTAGATTTAGGCCCCAAATCAAGAGTAAGCAGGAAGGGGCAGGTAGGTGAGCACCCGCCCTGGAGACAAGAGGTTCTGAGTTCAAATGCGGCCTCAGACATACAACACTCACTAGCTGTGTGACTGAGCAAGTCACTTAACCCCATTTGTCCCACCAAGAACAAAGAAACAAATAGCCTTTCTTGACCAATTCCTACCTACCACTTTGGGGCTACACAGAGCGCTGGGAAAAGCTGCGCCGCTCCTCTTGGTTTCCCGTGTATCCAAGCATCCGGAATGGAGACAGCTTCTACTGGGACCCAAGCCAAGCCAAGAAGGACTTAGACCCGTTCGACTCCGTAACCTTCGGGTGGTCTTCAGAGACCGGGACCTTAAAGGAAAGAAAGATGAACCTTAAGGAAGAGGGGGTTTGGGACTAGGCAAATGGAGGGCTCCAGAAGAAGCTTGGGGCACCAGTCCTTCCCGTCTTCCAGCCAGCTTCCAGCCAGCTTCCCCGGAGTTGTGACTCGGGGTTCCAATCAGACACTAGCAGTGTGACTGAGGCTGTGCTCCAGAGTGTCGCTAAGGTCCCCGTACAGCTCTAAATGCTGTGATCCTGTCCTATCGGCAAAATGATGAAATGGATAGAGCAGTCAGAAGACCTGAGTTCGAATTAGCAGCTGCGTGACCCCAGGCAAGTCACCACCTCCCTGGGTCTCAGTTTTCGCTGCACTAAAATGAGTGGGTGGACCCGACTGCCCTAGGACTATCCGGGGAAACGGGGAGTGGGGAGGCGGGATGAGGGGTGGAAATCAAAGACGCTCAGAGCCAGGGTTATCAGGAATTTGGGGGGACACCCTGCCAGCTCCCTGTCCCAGCCACGAGTGGGCCCGTTAGTCCAGGGGCTAGAAAATGCCTTGGGGAAAAGCTCAGGATGGGGTTAACGCCGCCCCACTAACCAACCGCCACCATCTCGACGAAGTCCCGCAGGAATCCCCAGAGCACCGGGAGAGCGCGTGCACGTCCTTTGTGGGGGCGCCGGGTGGGGAGGGGCTCCGCCGAGCCAAGAGCGCCCACCCACTGAGCCGTCTGCCCCGGCTCCCCCCTCCCTAGCAAACGCAGGGATAGGTGCACGCCTCTCTAGGGGCTCCCACCCGAGCCACGTACTACCAACGCTTGGCATCCCTGCAGCTCCCCAACCGCACCATACGGAGTTAGCAGCGGGCACGGACGACGACTGAGTCCTGGGGAATCTGGGTTCCAGTTCTGCCTCTTACTGTCCTTGTGGCTTCAAGTTGGTCTAGGTTTTAATTTTCCTATCTGTAAAACTAAGAGTGTTGAATTTCGGAAGCTGCTTAAGGTCTAAAATCTGTTCAGTGGAATCCCCTTGGGCAGGAGGGAGATCAGGCCAGTAAGAAGCGGAAGGAGACCACCTCTGCAAATGCCATCTGACCGGGGAGCCACTTCCCCCAGGGCCTGGCTCAGACCCTGCTCTTCGGGAGGGTCCTTGGCCTGCCTAGAACATCCTCAGCCATTTATCACAGCCCAGGTCTCCTGACCACGTCCCTTTTCAGTTTAAGAAGCTTCTCAGTTATCTACTGCTGCATCTAGGATAAAAGGCAAACTCATCAGCCTGGATCGTGAAACGCTCCACCTTTGGCTCCAAACTACTTTTCTAATCTTACGTGATCCATCCCTCTCTTCCACCCTTTGAAGTTATACTGCTTGAAAAGGCACTTTCTGTGCACACTCTTCCACCTTTCCTGCTCCAACCTTGCTGCTGACCTCCAACCTCGAGTTCCAACTGCCTTTCAGATATCTCAAACTGAACATGCAATAGACATCTTAAAGTCGTTGCGTCCAAAACAGAAATCAGAATCTTCCCCCCTAAATATTCTCCACTCTCCTACCTTCCCTATTACTGTAGAAGGCAATGCCATCCTTCCAGTCCCTCAGATTCACAGCCTGGGAGTAATCCTGGGCTCCTCGCAGTCTCTTAACACCTACGTCCAAGCCGTTGCCAAGCCCTGTGAAGTCACCTTCGCAACATCTCTGGTAGATTTCACCTGCAGCATCTCCCAAACACTGCCGCTTTCTGACACTCCCCCTCCCCCAGGCCCATCCTTACCTCACGCGCCGACTACCGCAAAAGCTGCTGGGGTGGGGGTGGGGCGCAGTCTGCCGCTCTCAAGTCTCTTCCCCAGTCTAATCCATCCTACCTTCAGCTACCAAAGTGGTTTTCCTGAAGTACAAGTCTGATCACGTTCTCCTTCCCCACCCCACCCCCAACTTAAACTCCAGTGGCCCCTTATTGCCTCCAACAAAATCCTCTGCTTGGTATTCAAAGCCCTTTATCATTTAGCCCCCTCCAAACTTCCCTTCTTCTTACCCCTTACTCTTCAATCCAGTGACGTGCCCTGGCCTCCTGGTTGTTTCAAGAACAAGACCCTCTCTCTCTCTCTCTCCTCACACCCCCTCGGCTCCAACTACTGACCTGACTACTGGCTTCCATTAAGTCCTAACTAAAATCCCAGCCTCCATAGGAAGCCTTCCCCAACACCTCTTAATCCTAGTGCCTTCGCTCTGGTAACTTCCAATTCAGCCTCTTGCTGGTACCGAGGTGTTTGCGTGATGTCTCCGCATTCCATTCTGAGCTCCAGGGACTATGTTTTGCCTCTTTTGTGTCTCCCTTGCTTAGCAGAGTGCCTGGCACGCAGCGGGTACTTAATATTATCCTTCTTCAGTTCCTGAACTCTGTATTCCTTCTCCCCAGTGCCTGGAATATCCTCCCCCTGCTCCTCTCCTTAGAGTTCTCCCCTTCTTCCCGAAGCCTCCTGGATTCCCACAGCCCTCCCCCCTTATTGCTCTCTTCCTCCTCAAATCCCCTTGCATTTGTGTTTCCTAATATAGACTTGCCGTCAAGTGCCCCAGCCCCCAACAGCCTGTGGACCACCCGCGTCCTCTGCCCCAGTAACCTTGGATAGCTCATGCACGGGTTATGCGCTTTCCACGTTAGTGGGTTAAATAAATACGATGCCTTTAATGTTTGTGGAGTGATTTGACTGACGATGAAGTGAGGAATAGTGCTGAGAATGAAGGGATGAGGTCGTTCTGGAATTTCCAAGAGCTAAGCAGGGAGAGGCATCATGGCAGGGTGGAGGGCCCCTTGACTGGAAATCAGAAGGCCCTGGGTTCTTGCCTCTATGACCTTGGACAGTCCACTTTCCCACTCCAGGGTTCATTTTCCTCATCTGTAATATGCAGAAGGTGCACTGAGGGAAAAACAAATAAACCAAAACCATTGACTCTGGAGTCAGAGTCTTGGGTTCAAGTCATTCTTTCTTTGTGAACTTGGACCTTGATTTTCCCATCTAAGAGACAAGAGGGTTGGATTAGCGAGGACTTCTGAGATCCACTGTAGATCTAGCTCGATGACCCCCGAATAGGGGACCTCAAAGGTCCCTTTTAGTTCTAACAGAAGAAAGGATTGTTTAGAGCCGAGAAAACTTCATTTATCGTGTCAGGAATTGTGAGGCTTTGGAGTTACAGCTGGACAGGATTTTAGAGGTGATCAGGTCTTACCCTTGTCATTGTACCAACGGGAAAACTGAGACCCAGAGAACTCCCAGAGCTTGCTGGGGTTTGGGGTGGGATTGGAAGCAGGCCTTGCTGCCTCTATCCAGATCTAGGACTTTCTCTGCTACCTCATTGTGCCACAGGAGAGAGGCAGCTCGAGAGAGCCAGAAGGAAAGAAGAAAGAACAATGAAGGAGAGAGCACAATCAGACAGTGAGGTGAGCCCGTTAACATGATTTATGTGCCTGACCCAAGGCTTTCTGGGGGACTGAGCCATTCAGAAGGAAGGGGAACCACCTGAACCGAGCCCGGATCCATGGGAGAAGCAATGAGTTGGTTGCTCTATGACCAATGAAACAGGTGATCGAGGAATAAGGGGAAATGGGACTGGCAGGAGAAGTGAAACCTTCAGAGTGGAGGACCCTGCTGAGGTCAGGGTGGGTGATATTTCATAGACGCCCAGCCTGATCCACTTTTGGGGTAGGTTTAGGACCAGAGCGAGGGGCTTGAGTGGGGAGAAGCTTCTGAAGGCTGCGCCTGCCCAGGGTTCTGCCAGAAGACGCGGGGGCTGGCCATTATGTCTCAACCCTTTGAGAACTGCTCTCTTCTGTCTAGAGGTGCATGGTGACAGGCTTTCGTAGACACACCAGAGCCACAGCTGGGCACCAAGTCTGCCACCTCGGAGAATACGATGTGGAGGGAAGCATCAGCCTCCGAGCCTGGGAGCTCCTGGGCACCAATGGCAAGAGGGAATAGTTTGCGTTTTCTTCTGAAGGAGGCGCCAAGCTGGCTGCTCCCTTGGTCTTGGCAGTGAGCGTGGGATTCCCCACAAGGCCAGGCTCTTTACAAGGCTGTCTCTTCTTTCAGCTCCTCTTTTCTTTCTCCGTCCTCCTCCCTCACCTCCTCTTTGTCCTCCCCATCTTCATCACTGTTGTCTCTCTCCTCTTCCTCCGGGTAGCTCACCTCTTTGACACTACAGCTTGTGCCCCCCTCGGGTGTGTTCTCTTGCATGAGGCTATCCTAGGAAACAAGGCAAGCACCTATCAGGGATGAGCACAGGCAAAAGGAAAGTCCACCAGGTCTGTGGCCCACGGGGCCAGCAGGACTCCCCACCCAGGCCTGGAGGCCTCCCAGCCATGGCTGCAGACACTTGTGGTGGCCACTGGGGTTGCCCTGGACTGCCGGCTGCTGACACCCACTCTGACCTGGAAAGTCTCTGCTTTTCTAAGGCTGGGTTTGGCCCAGGCCAGGCCCAAGAGCCCCAAAGTGACTTGTCTAAAGACATACAGGAACTGCAACCCCTTTGGGATTAATTTGTTTTTCTGGTTTCTGCCTGCTTTTATTAAACTTTTTAGAAGTATTACATTTAATATTGATCCTTTCATTTTTTTCAGGCTGGCTCAGAGCCTGGGGGTGCATTGCCAGGCCTGGGGCCTTTTCAGCCTTTAATGTCCCTTTCTTCCAAGAGACAGCCATCAGCTGAACTCCTAGAACTCGGGCTCTTCACCAGATCGATTTGAGGGCTCAGTGGAATTAGAGGGGAAGACGATGACACCGGTATTTGAAGTGGATTGGCTTCCTTTGTAATCCTATATATTTTATTATTAGTATTTTTTTCACTTGAAGCCACAGTTCTGAGACGACACTTGGCCTAGAAGCACAATTATGCAGTGAGAAGAACGCTGGAGTTGCAGGCTGAGGTGCCGGGTTGTCACTCACACCGGGGGTGACCTGGTTTTGAAGCATGCCTCCAGCGCTAAATCTCTGGCCCCTTCATCCTAGTCCAGACTCTTGCTAGCAACTGTCTTGAGTAAGCTGGGTCACTCTCCTCTTTGGGGACTGATTTGTTCATCTGCAGCGTGAGGGCACTGGATTCCATGATCTGAGATCCCTTTCACCTGCGCCTCCTGATCCTTCCCAATCCCTCGCACCAAGGTTCTGGTCCTCTGCAGCTATGGTACCTGCCTTGGCCCCAAGCCTAGGGAGAAATGTATGGAACTAAATCTATTTGAGTTAAATATCTGAAGACAAAGGCACAAAGAAAAGGTGAGGCTGTCATCTTCTGGATTTGGACCATCTATCCCCAGCACCAACCTAACACAAGGTGGTTCTCTTCTTTTGAACACAGATGTTGAAAGATCCTGGATCCTGGAGTAGGCTCCTCACCCTTCCTGCTCCACTCAAGAAAGATGGGGTTGGAATTGATAAGAATACAAGTCATGGTCAAAGGATATGAACAGGCAGTTCTCAAATGAAGAAATTAAAGCCATCTAGAGTCATATGAAAAAATGCTCTAAATCACTATTGATTAGAGAAATGCAAATCAAAACGACTCTGAGGTACCACATCACACCTATCAGAATGGCCAACGTGACAAAACAGGAAAATGATACATGTTGGAGAAGATGTGGGAAAATTGGAACGCTAATGCATTGTTGGTGGAGTTGTGAAATGATCTAGCCATCCTGGAGAGCAATTTGGAACTATGCCCAAAGAGCTATAAAAATGTGGATACCCATTTGACTGCTAGGTCTGTATCCCAAAGAGATCACAAAAACGAGAAAAGGACCCATGTGTACAAAAATATTCATAGCAGCTCTTTGTGTGGTGGCAAAGAATTGGAAATTGAGAGGATGCCCATCCACTGGGGAATGACTGAACAAATTGTGATATATGAATGTAATGGAATACTGTTGTGCTGTAAGAAATGATGAGCAGGGGGACTTCAGAAAAACCTGGAAAGACTTGTACAGTCTGATGCCGAGTGAAATGAGCAGGACCAGTGGAACACTATACACGGTAACAGCCATGCTGTGCAATGACTAGTATTGACAGACTTAGCTGTTCAAGGATCCAAAAGACTCCTGACAGAAAATGCTATCCATATCCAGAAAAAGAACCATGGAGTCTGAATGCAGGTGGAAGCAGACTGTTTGCTCTCCTTTTCTTTTGTTGTTTTGTTTTATTTCTTCATTCTCATGGTTCCTCCAGTCAGTTCTAATTCTTCTATACATTGTGACTAATGTGAAAATATGCTTAACGTGAAGGAGAGCCTCTATCAGATTGCACACAGTCTTGGGGAGGAGGGAGGAGAGAGAGGGGGAGAAATTTAAAACTCAAAATCGTATGGAAGTGAATGTTGAAAACGAAAAATAAACAAATTCTTAAAAAAAAAGCAAGATGGGATCGGCCCCTGGGCTGAGGATGGCAATCTTGGTCAGCTGGAGGGTCTGGGTGCAGCCACAGCCCCTGGGAGAAGCTGTGCCAGTGAGAGAAGCAAAGGAATGGCGGGGTTCCAATGCTGCTGCCCAGGACCGATGGCTGAGGGACCACAGGCCAGTCATTGGTGTGCCTTAGTTTTCTCCTCTGTAAAAGGAGGCTGGATCAGGGGGCCTCTTCACTCCCTTCCAGACCCAAATCTTAGGCCATGGACATTGAAATAAAAGAGCTCGCTCTCCTCATCCATCCTCACCGGCATCGTTTAGTTCTGTCTCCTGCTGTGAGGCCAGAAGGGAATCTCTTCCTTTCCTGATCTCAAATCTGGTGGAAGAAGGCACTGTGACCCGCAGGCTCTAGACTGGAGGTGTGGGTGGCCCACTCCATCTAAGGAACCATCTCGTACGTGACAGAAGGCGCCCCCCCCCACTCCAATCCTCCTAGAACAGGGTTTTGGCCCCCTAAGGCTCCTTCAGTCTGGTGAAGCCTATGGACCCCTGCTCTGAGTCATGTCCATCAAAGCATCAAATCAAAGACAAAGGATTACAAAGGAAACCAATTCGATTGAAATACAATTATCAAAAACATTTAAAAAACAATCTCATGGGCCCTCAGCTAAAAGTCCCAGTTCTTGAGGATCTGGTGGGTGGCTGGACCTTGTCAGTATGAAACAACAGCAAATTACAGTATATTTCCAAAGCCCTCTAGTAGGGGACAGAGGACGTGGGTCTGACCCCAGATCAGCCACATGAGACCTCCTGGGCCTTAGGCCTATCATCTCTGCTTTCTGGGCCTCAGTTTCCCCTGCAGAATGAGGCAGCTGGTCCTTTCCAGCACTCAACGTGTGGTTCTTTGATTTGAGAATGCTGTCCCTCATTCTTCCTCTCCTGTCCTAGCACCATGTGTAGCCCTGAGCAGGGCCATTTTCATTGTTTACATTTTTCTCCACCCCAAATCTCCTTTACTAGGGCCTCTACACCTTTAGTTCCTTAGCCCACATGGATCTGTGCCCACTAGAAATGGATTACTTCCAGACTGACCAGAAAGAAAACTCACCCAATTATAGAATACGTAACAGACGTAGGTAAATGTGAGGCTGAACTCCAGGAGGGAGGTGATTAACAAAATCATGGAAACCATCCTTCCCACATTCTGCAAAAGAAATACAAGAGGAGAATTCATCACAATCTTTCTCAGTGAATGAGGCACTCTAGAGAAGCAGAAGGGGGTCAGGGCACCTGAGGAAGGCTTCTGGACTGGGTCAACACCGGGGCCTGCTGGAGCTCACAAAGCCCATTGCAAAACTGGCAGTTCTCAGAAATCTGCAAAGGCTACAAACTCAAGGTCTGAATGTTTTGTTGACTGTCTAGCTTTAAGAGAGGGATGGAGAAAATGGTGTTGCTATTGTTCAATCCTGTCCAACTCTCTGTGACCCCATTTGGGGTTTTCTTGGCAAAGATACTGAAGTTTTTTGCCATTTCCTTCTCCAGATCATTTTACAGATGAGGAAACTGAGGGAAACAGGGTAAAGTGTCTAGGGTCAGATCTGAACTCAAGAAGATGAGTCTTCCTGACTAAAGGCCCACTGCTCTATCTACTGTGCCACCAAGCTGTCCTATGGAGAAAATGGTAATAGTGCAGATTAATTTTCAGTGTGTTGGCCACATTTGTTTTATCCTGTTAAATATCTACCAGCACACCTCTGCGTCAACAGAGATACAGAGCGGATCTCTGTGGCTTTGGCCAGTAGACGGGGAGCTGATTCGCCCTAACAGACTCATAGGCGGCCAATGAACCAGAAGGAAGATTGGAGAGGTAGTGGAACATAACAACATGACTAACCTTTACAAAGCACTTTACTTAAGCTGTTTCGTTCAATCTTCACAACAACCTTGTAGAGGTATGTACTATTAGGACTCTGTCCATTTTACAGGTGAAGAAACGGAAGTTAAAGGATGTTCAATGACTTGCCCAGGGTCACAGGCCTAGTAGATATCTGAGTGGGATTCTGACTTGGGTCTTCCTGACCCCTAATTTGGCATTCTCTCCACTGGGTCACCTAGCCGCCTACTGAAACGAGGGCTCTGGAGGATCTGGGTTCAAATATGGCCTGCACCATACACCAGCTCAGCATCTAGGGGTCCAGAAGACCTGGTTCAAATACGGCCTTCACCACAAGCCAGCCGAGTGTCCCTGATGAAATAACATAACCCTTCTGTGCCTTAGATAAACCTTAGATAACTTCCACACTTGGAGTTACCCACAGTGACTAAATCCTAGCTCCCTTTCATATGTGCCCACAATAAAAAAAAAAAAAAACCCCATCAAGTAACCAGAACATCCCTTGTTTTCAAGTTGGCCAATTCTCTTGTCAGTAAGAAGATCGACGTGAAAAACCAATTTAACACCAGAAAGCAAGTTGGTCAACCACAAATAAGAGAAGGAGTTAAAAGAGACAGACAGTGCCCAGAAGTTTGGGTATACCCATGTCAGTCACCTGGGAAATGCCTGCCAAGCAGATGGGGTACTGGTATTGGGCACCATCAATTGTTACTGTCCATTTCTCAGTATTCCTTTTGAGGCCACTAGGTGGCGCCAAAGAGCACTGAGCGCTGGGTCTGGAGCTCGTGACCCTGGGCAGGTTGCTTAAAGGCTTACTTTGGTTCGCCTCAGTTTCCTCCTCTGTAAAATGGGGACAATAACAGCACCTGCCTGTTGTGAGGGTCACACGCGATAATGATTGTAGCGCGCTTTACGGGGCGCTAGGTGAGTAGTAGGCGCCTCAGACGTGGCAGCTACGATGATGATTCCAGTCATGATTCCCGAATCCTCTGCCCAGAGGGCCAGTGCTCTGTCCACGGCTGGTTTCTGGGCCCCCTCCACACCCTCCAGAGTGAGAGGAGCTGTCAGCTGGCCTGGGAAGCTACGACCGTGTTACAGACACACAACAGTCGTTTCAGTTTGTCCCACTCTCCGTGACCCCATTGAGGGTTTTCTTTCAGAGGTACTGGAGTGTTTGCCATTTCCTTCTCCAGCTCATTTTACAGATAAGGAAACTGAGACAGACAGCGTGAAGCGACTTGCCCAGAGTCACCCAGAGAGTAAGTGTCTGAGGCCAGATTTGAACTCGGGAAGATGACTTCAGGTCCAGTGCTCTGTGCACGACGTAACCTAGTACGACCGTGAAGACTTTACTATCCCTACCCAGGGACAAGGAGAAGGAATTCTATGAAAAGTGATCGAGTGACCTCTAGGGGGCTCCACAAAAAGCAGCCCGAGTCAGGAACACCCGAGTTCAAACCCTGCCTCAGACATCTCACTGGGTCTCTGTCTGACTCAGTTTCCAAATTTGGAGAGTGAAGGTAATGACAGCCCCTCCTTCCCAGGGCTGTTGTAAGGACTGAGTTAAAATGTGGAAAGCACTTTGCAAACCTTAAAGCATTGAACAAATGCTGGCTGTTCTTTCCTAGTGTCCATCTGGGACCCCTTGAAAGAGGCTAAAACAAAACTCTGCTGGGGACCTTTTCCACAACATGGCCCCAAGCAGCCTCTGCGGCCTCCCCTGCTGCCATCACTTCCTCTTTGAAGCATCCCCAGTCCTTCGCACAGTGCCCGGCACATGGCTGGCACTCAATCAATGTTTCCTGGTTTGCCTTGACTCTGAATTCTGCAGTGCAGCCCAACCAGGCTTCACAGTTCCCCAAGACACTGCATCTCCCACCTCCAAGCCTTTACATTGGCCATCCCACACCGTGGAATGCACCCCCTCCTTTCTTTCACCTCAGAGTCCCTCTCTTCCTCGAACAGAGCTTAAGCACGCCATTCTGCATTACACTCTTCCTGTGCCTTCCCTTCCAAACCATTCTGTACACATCTGTATTTGTTCACTTCGTGGCTAGTCTGGATATGTATATAGCCATCTCTGAACGTGGACGTGCACATACGTATCTCCGTATCTGTACTTACATACACATTGTTGTTTCCCTTAGCTCCCTGGGAGTAGGGATTGCTTCCTGCTTTGTCCTCTCATCCCCAGGACTTAGTGCACTGCGGGCACCTAGGTGACTCCTCAGGAATACTTGTTAATTGATTGTCTGGTCATGAAGTGCACCTCCCCAGCCCCCGTTCCTGCTGAAAGCCTCCTGCGCTTCCCCCAAACTCCACAATCATTTGGAAACCGGGACCTCTCTGTGTAACTGGCTACTTACTGCTCTGGAAAAATTTTTATAGGATAGTTCTTCTTCCATACACAATTCAATGATTATGAGAATGATTCCAACTGATGCTACTGAGGCACTCACAATGTTTCCAAAGAAAGCCAACTTTCTCTGAAAAGGAAATGCATGTTGAATTTAGGTGTAAGGGGATGGCTTCTGAGGAAACGATCTGGTTTTCTGTCAGGGGCCTCGGTAACTGGGACTGGCACCATTGGATTTGGGGCCACAAGGCCTGGGTTTTTATCCTGGCTCTGCTCTGTGCTGCAGGTATGAACCTTGGTAAAGCCCATGATCCCTCCCTGGACCCAAGCTTCTTCCCGTTATCCTTCAAGTGCCTTCCAATGCTACAGCCCATCAGTTGGGAGACTGAGGTTCAACTTAGTTGGTAACCCCTCTGAAAAAACATCAAACAGTTGTATTTAATCCAGGGCCCTTAACCTGAGGTTCATAGGACTGCAGGGGGTTTGTAAACTTAGATGGGAAGAGAAAACGACATAAATGAAATTTAGTATTTCTATTACGAATGGTGGCAACAAACATTATTCTGAGGAGTCAACAGGCTTCACCAGATTGCCACCAAGGTCCAAGAAAGGGTTAAGAACCCCTGGACTACCTATTCTCCAAGGTCTTCTCCAGGCCTAAAATTCCAGGATTTTAACTTTCTGGTCTACCAGGGGGAAGGAGAGAGGAATGGAGGGGGACAGGTGAGAGAAGAAGAGCACGGGGGAGAGAGAGAAAGAGAGAGACGGACAGACAACAGTCACACAGAATACAAAGGACGACAGAGAGCCCAGTAGCACCCACAAAATGCACAAAGACCCTGAGGGGTGCCTTCAGCAGACTGAACCTCCCTTGGTGGAGAACACGGACACAAATCTCCCAGGATAAGAAGGTGCAGGTGGCTTGCAATCTGCCCTGGCAGAGGGAGTACTAGACCTGGGAAGGCTCCGGGGTCCCCTGCAGTATTAGAGGAGGGTGCCTGTACTTGCTTGCTTCCCCTTCCGCCCCCTCAGGAGCCTGCTTCTTGGGGACGGTCACTGCCCACAGCTTGGGAGGGTGCCTGACTGATCTGGGACTCTGCCATCTCTGACTTAAAACCTCCGTCCCCCTTTATGTACAAGGGCAGCAGCAAGCGCATTCCCACACCTTCTGACTCACCGAATGGACGGAGGAGTATGTGGCTTCACTTACTGAGAGGATTCCAGACACGAGGAACTGCTTAGAAAAATACACCTGTCAATGTCATTGCTAAGCGAGACCCCCCCCCCCAATCACACGCTCTTCAGGGTTGGAAGGACCGCGGTGGCCTGTGGACCTGACCAGCACACAAAAGGAAGCCCCTAGGAGCCCCCTCAGGCCGTCCAGGGAGGGCTCTCGTTGCTGGGGAGCCTTCTAATGTTAAGCCTACTCACAACTTCCACCTTTTCTCCTGGGGTCAAACAGATCAAGTCTGGCTTCAGAGTTCTGGGTTCAAACCTGCCTGCTGTCACTTATCACCTTGTGACTTGGCGAGCCACTTCATTTCTCTAGGCCTCAGTTTCCTCATCTGTAAAATGAGGGGGCTGGACCTCCGAGGTTCCGTCCAGCTCCAGGTCTGTTCCCTCTGCCCATCACAGCTCTTCGCATACCTTGCTGAATCCCTTCCTCATTTAAATCCTTTTCAGAAGAACAAGTCCCTCTGGTGGAATTCCCTTTCCCTTTTTTTCCCCTTGGTGGCCCCTGCTAAGTGTCCTAGCCCAGCAGTCACTCAGAGTCATGAGGGCAGCAGCTAGGAGCCGGCCAGCCGGCATCAGCCGAGTCTGAGACCACAGTCATGGGGCCGGGAAGCCCAGCGGAGGTAGAGAGGGCCCGTGCTTGCAGCCCCAAGGGGGAATTCCTGGTGTGGGAGCTCCCTCTCCCAAGGTAGATCACAGAGAAGGCAGACTGAGTCTCCTGACGCGCCTCAAGTACAGGGATTTGTCCGGGGCTACAAAGACAGCAGGTGGTGGGACAAGGGCCCAGGTCCTTCTGGCTCTACACTCAGACTTCCAGCTACTCCGCCATATTGAGCCTGCGGGCCCTCCTTGTGTCAGGGATGTCTCAACTCCTCTGAGCATCCCAATTCAATCCAACAAACATTTACGAAAGGCTATCACAAGAGAGTTACTGTGGTAGGTTCTGTCCCTGTGCCTTTGCTCAAGCAGCCCGGCATTCACAGCATCAATGACAGCGCGGCCACTGCTACTTTTCATGGTAAGGAAGTGATGCCACCCAGGGTAGCATGGCGCCATGGGAAGAGCATGGTCTGGAGCCTGGGAACTGGGGTTCTCTCACTGACTACCTTGTGAGCTCTGGGACTGTTTCCTCTTCTGCAAACTGAGGGATTTGGATGAGGCGGCAGCCTCAGGTGAGTGCCCGCCCTACATTCTCTCTCTCTGATGGTCAGTATGGATCCTAGTTCATTGACGTCAGATGGATAACCCACAAATGACGTGGGCAGACGAGGAGGAGCAGTCTTCTTTCCACTGAACGTGGGAGAGGCATGTCCTTTGGTTGATGACTACTGTCCCTGGAGGAGGCAGCTGTCACTATCACAGAAATATCCTCTCTCTCTCTTCTGCTTGCTAGTACCATTGGCTACGACCTAAGACAATGACTTTATGTAAACATGCCGCGATGCTGGCTGGTGTAAACTGTGCGCTCAGCTCTTATGCCCCTTCCCCAATCCGGCTTCCTCCTGCTTCTCTCCTGACAGCATCACTCCCCCTTCCAAGGTCTAGCTGAGGTGGCCTTGCCCTCTCCTGGTACCCGGTTTCCAGGTCTATCTTGGGCTCTTTGCCCGTGCTCTCGCTAGGCCTCTGCCTTCCTTTCAGAGCTCAGGCCAGTTGCTCCCTTGGAGCACGAGGTCTAGTAGAAAGAGGACTGGATCTGGAGCCTGAGGCCCAGGGTTTGAATGCCACCTGAGACTCTTACTGTCTGGGTGAGTCTCTTCACCCTTAAGCCTCAATGTCCCCATCTGTAAAATGAGGGATTGAAGCTGAAGGCCTGAGGTCCTTCCTACAGCTGCCTCAATGATCCTGTAGTCTCTGCAACTGGATTGTGTCCTCTCCTACCCCCACCCCACCCCCCGCCCCATTTACTGGGTATTGGAGTGTAAGCTCCTTGAGGACAGTCCTGCTTTGTTCTTGTCTTTGTGTCCTCAGAATTTAGCACAGTGCTGGGCACATGGCAGAGGCTTCATAAATGCTTGGTGAATGGAGTTCATTTCTGAACTCTACAAGGACGCTGTGAGGTAATGGGAAGAGCCTCAGATCTGCAGTCAGCGGAGAAAGCTGTGTTCAAATCCAGACTGAGTTTTATTAGCTGTGTGACCAAGGACAAATAACTCTCCCTCTCAGAGCTTCAGTTTCCTCACCTTCCTCTTTCACCTCGTCACTCTGCCCCAGCAGCTGAGCCCTCTGAAGAGGCTGTGGGGAAGCCGAGCATTGGTTCTGAAGACGATGTACGACGTACGTCATGGCCCCACAGAAGAGACAACTGGACCACCAATCTGGAGCTAGGAGGGCAACCGGAGCCTGGACAACCTTCTCATTTTATATCTGGGGAAACTGAGGCCCAGAGGGATGAAGGGACTGGCTTGAGACCACAAAGGAGTAAGCATCAGGGGCAGAATTTGAACCCAGGTCTTTGGATGTCATGTTTCACTGTACTGTGCTGCCTCCTTCCTTGCAGGCTTGAGTCATTTTGGCGGCTGAATACTGGGGGCTGTGTGCCATGTTTAAAAGAAGAGAAGAGCACCTACTATGTGCCAGGTACTGTGCTAAGCTCTCTACAAATAGTATCAGGACTGTTCTTTTGTGTGAAAATGGGCCCTTCCCCCTTCAGCCCTCTCCTTAAGTCATAGACACACCCTTAGTAAAGATCTCAAAATGTGAAAGTCTTCCTTTTCCTAACCACTATCCCATGGAAAAGGAAGGGGGGGGGGAGGAAGGGAGAAGTGTATTCTACTCACACTGATTGCCCATGATGGATACTGTACTCTATAGGTTATAGGATTATACATGCCAAAATATCCTTTATGCTGTTGGCTATAAAGGTCAAACAGGAAATACCACATTAACAAGTGGAAGGAGCTTGTCATGATCTGGACGGCCTGGGAGAAGAGAAGGTGGTCAGTATGGGCACAGAGTAAGGCATGGGCCATCTTTTGCGGAATCTTGGGTATCGTCCCAAGGGAGCAGAGAAGCTGGGTACTCCCACCACCCACTCACTGGGCTGGATGGCCATGGATGGCAAGAAGCAGCTGGAATTCATTGGAGGGAGACTGACCATAGAGGTATTAGAAAGGTTGTCCCACAGCAAGTGCTGGATTCTTACATAAGGACTTTGGTAAAGCTGATGACGCTACTGGTTATTCTCTATCCAGTCTGGCCTCCAGAAAAGCAGACTAGGACACAAAGCATCAAGCTCCCTCTAAAGGCTAAGGGAGGCTGTGCCTTTTGAGTTCCAGCACCAGACATAGCCCTAATACCCACCCACCCACCCACTCATGTATTTAACAATGAGTGGAATGCCTTCTGTGGGCTAAGGAGGAGGGAGTGTGCCCTACCAGTTAGCACCAGGCATAGTCTCATGTCTACCCTAGCACTTAAGGCTTGCTTCTCATTCTAAAAGAGGAATACATTTTTACTTCCAAAGTCTACTAATGGCTGGCTTGGATTTCCCTGTAAGGGAATGGGGAATAGACTGAGCTGAGGATGAATCAATCTCAGCATTTGCTAAGTCACTGGATAATTATTTGAAAGAACAGCATTACAGGTAAATAGGCAAACTTGGATGTGTGACGCCATTGTAAATCAAACTATCATCCTCTCATTGAGTTCTTCTGGTGTGAGGAGGAGCAGGGGTTGGAACCAGAGAGCTTGGGTTCAGACCTTGATTCTCCACACAGTTTCTGTGACATCAGTTTTGGGTCTTAATGCTCAGACGCTGGGGCATCAGGTACAGTGAGCCACCTAGGAAGGGCAGACTTTGATGCTCCTTGGACAAAGTCTTTATCCTTTGGCCTCACCGAAGCTGCCCCACACCCTTGGACCCAAGCACCACCCATTTTAAATGGAGAGTCCACAGGAAGTCACACTCACCCCTAACACCAGGCTGTCCAAGAGAGAAAGGCTTTCTACAGGAAAGACAGGCATGTTCGTACCGAGCCTGGTGGGTCCTCCAAGCAAGTCCCGAGAACACCTCTATCATCCAGTGACTGAAAAACACCAATGTGCTTGGATCAGAAGAACATTAAGTGAGCTGCCCGTCCTTCCAGACTCAGAGGAGTGAGGTTACTCTTCCAGGACTCTTAGAGGCGGTAACTGGCAGACAGCAAGCAGCTCTAAGGAATACTGGGACAGAGTAAAAAGAAAACTGGATTTGGAATCAGACGACCCAGGTTTGAATCCTAAGGCTGCCTCTCTGGACCTCAGCCCCCTCATCTATAAAATGAGAGTGTTGGCCTCAATGCCCTTTAAAGTCACTTCCAGCTTTAAATCTATGATGCTATGAGTTGCTGCCCTATCAGGGCATCAGTTTCCCCATCTGTAAAATGAGGGAGTTGGACAAAATTATCTCTCATATTCCTTTTGGCTTTAAATTCATGCTCCTGAACTGTGTAGTCTTGATTTCAGTAGCACTAGAAAATGCTGTTAGTGTGCACATATTTTTACCATACGGGGAAATGACCCTCCCAGGAGACAAAGTTACAATGATCTGGGTTGTCTTATGGAAAAATTCTCAATGATATTTTATTTTAATTTATCAAGGGCAGCCAGGTACTCCTCACTTACCTTGGGCTTCTAATCCCTGTTACCCACGTTAGTTCTATCACTCTCCCTGGCAGAGGAAAAAAGCAAGATAACAATTAAGTAGCCCTGCCTTCCCCCATCTGCTCAATATCCTCATCTCATCCACCCCAAGCACAGGCCCTAACCTTTCCTTGATTCTTTTATTTCTCCTAATATTGCTACCTGCCTCCCATTTTATTATGCTTAGATTTTCTTGCCAGTCTCGGCTCATTTTGAGTTTTAGAATGACTGATCCTATCTTTACAAGACGATATCACACTTTCATATTCATCCTCTGCTTGCTTCTATCTTCTTTGCATTTCTTTTTAGAACAGTTTTTTGGGGATGTCAACGTCCAACTTTGCTGATCTCTTCATACAATCTCATTTTTTTCTTCTCATTTGAACTGTTTCACTTTTGCATCTTCAAAATTTCACTGTAGATTGTTTCCCATATTTCCTGAGATTTCCCTGTAGAATTTTAGTCAACAGGATTCTACCTATCCTTCCTCTGTACTTAAAACGTCATTTGCCCTCATCCAGAGTGCATGTCAGATTATGCTTGGATTGCCTCTCCTCTATCCATAAACTCTAGAAGGAAATGGTCACTTCCCTCAAGAATTTCCCTCCTTTCAATCCTGAGCAACCAGATCTTCCCTATTAGCTAGAATAAGATCCACAATAGAATTTCCCCTTGTTGGTTCCTCCACTTTTTGAAGGATTACATTATCATTAAGGCATGTCAAGAACTTATTAGCTGCTTTTGGGAGAAAGAGAGAGAGAGAGAGAGAGAGAGAGAGAGAGAGAGAGAGAGAGAGAGGCAGGCAGGTACACATACACACACTGAGAACTGTAACAGATGCTGGAATAACAGAAATCTTCCATCACAACTATATTTATTTGTGCCAGGCTTGTGATCTGCTTCTTAAACTCATCATCTATCTTCTCTTTCTGTCTAGATAGTCTGTAGTATACTCCAATGACAAAATGATTTGTTTCTCCCTCCGTTGACTTTTACTCAAATGATTTCCACCACGCATCCTTATTCCAGTTCCTGGACTTCCTCATGTGAACATGCCTTCTTAATATATAATGCTCCCCTCTCCCTGCCCCACCTTTTACTTTCCCTGAAAGTAGATACAGTATGATGTCTTGGAACCCTAGGAAGGCTTAGATCAAAAGACCAAAGATTTAGAGCTGGAAAGGACTTCAGAAGTCCTGGAGTCTAAAATTCTCATTTTACTAGAGAAAAATGAGTCTTGGAAAATTTGTGGCTTGCCCAAGGTCAAAGAGGGGGTAAGTACCAGAGTTTGGATTTGAACTCAAGATCCCTGATTCCAAACCCAGCACTCTTTCCACTGGACCATGCTTCGTCTGTCTCTTGAATAAAGTCTGCTCAACCAGAGCCAAATTCTAGTCATGAGTTTTATGCTACTAGGTCAACAACAGTTAGGGGCTGTGCTTTTAATTGCATTGGTACAGGGATCTCCTACATGAGGAAACTCCCTCTATCAATGCCAACTGATATCTTCTCTGAAACTTAATGTTAGAGAAGTTCCTGAAGAACCGAGAGATGACACGACTTGCCCAGCATCATACAGACTGTACGTGTCAGAGGTAAGACAACTTAGGTTTCAGGAACAACTGTTTGTCCCATCATGCTACCTCAGAGACCTCTAAGGAGAACCTAAGTGGCATGGAGGATAAAGCGCTGGACCTGGAGTCTGAAAGACCCGACTTAAAATAGCCTCTTGCTAGCGATATGACTCTGGGCAAGTCACTTAAACTCTTTGTCTCAGTTTCCCCATGTGTAAAAGTGGAGATAATAATAGCACCTATCTCTCAGGGTTGTTGTAAGATAAAATTATGCAATATTTATAAAGCACTTTGTAACACTTAAAATGCTATATAAATGCTAGCTATTTACTATAATAATTATTGTTGTTGTTACCGTTATTACCTAAGAGGTCAAATTTACCTCCTTGGGGTAGGACCTTTTGTTTCTCTTGCTTGTTGCCTAAACTTTCGGCATTTATGGCCAAAAGTTTTGCCACTGACTCCTGTCTTAGGTTTTGTCTTTTCTGAATTTCTGATATCCTAAGCGCTCTTCTTTTGTTGCAGCTACTCTCTGGAGTATCTAGCTTGCTGGACGGACACAGACATAGACGGACTTTTCCCTCTCCCACCCTTTTTAGTTCTGCACAACACTTTCAATGATTATATTCTTACCAGCCTCCAAAAGGTGCACCCCATCTCTGGCCAGGAATCTGGCACCCCTGTGTTTTAAATTGTGGTCTAGAAGTCCAAATCTCATTTCCTCAGCCAGCTGTTTACTTCCCCCGAACCTTTTTCTCTTCGTCTCCTTTCAGTGGACGGCTGTGAGGGAAACAAAACTTGTGCCTCTCTGGTCTTCAGTTTCTTGCTCAATTCTGTAATGTCTGGCAACATTTTTTGGTGCCTCCTAGCAGCATCATCAGTGCCCAGATGTGGGTTAATGTCATCTGTTTTGATGATTCTTGGGAGGGTCTCTCTTACGTGGTGGTTACATAGGGAAGACAATAGACTTCACTAGCTTCTTCAGTTCCTGTAGCAGGGATCACTCCTCCTCTTCTCGTCTTCCTTTGGCCCTTCATGGGTGATCTCTTACCTGATAGCTTCTGTGGCACTGCTAAGTCATTCTCTGGAGGGCAAGTGGCTTCCTCCTCCCTCCTCCATGTACCGCACCTAGCTCTCTCCTCTCCAGGGAGAGCCTAACATCTGTGTTTTAGCTTCAAAGTACAGAAGTGTCCCAGACTATTGTCCCAGAATCATCTCTTCCCTAAAGCAGTATTTTGGTCTTGACCCCTGTCTGTGGCTCAACTGAGGAAAATGTTTGCTGTTTGCCTACAAGGGTGAGGAGACAGCATCTAGCTAAGGCTGGTCAGTGCACACAGCTTCTCTGAGCTTACTGTATGGGGAAGAGACATGCTCATATCAGGCAATCTTTTCCCTTAGAAAACCCAGCCGGTGCCACCCTTCCCTTGCTCTACACAAGGGCTTCTTAACTTTTCTGTGTGCCTCGGACCCCTTTGGCATTCCAGGGACTAGGGACACTTCCTCAGAACCATATTTTAAGTGAACGCATAAAATAAATTATAAGTGTTTACAAAGGGTGCCAAAGGTTAGTGAAAACAAGGATGGACTACAGGTGAAGACCCCTGCTCTAGAAGCTCACCTTGGTGTCACTTATGTTTAAGTGGGTTGGTCTAATTAAATATACTGGCCCTGCTAACAGCCCTTCCCATTGGATTTAAAGCTACAGAACCTTTATTCAGATCCTGGACCTGCTACTTTCTAGCTGTGTGACCTTGGATGAGTCCCATCTTCTTGGCCTTGTTTCCTTCTATCTGCAAAATGAAGGGGCTGACTCTGATGACCTCTGAGGTCTCTTTCGGCTCTAAATCCCATTATAGCACCTCTTATGGGCTCACCCCCCTAACCCACACTTGCACTGGCAGGCTGGCTCATCAGATGGACACTTCGGGTTCAAGGTTAACATGGTATTTGGCTAACTTCCTGACACTGCAGCATATTAGCTTCTACCAATAAGCTTCGCATAAACAATAAGCCAGTAGACTCAATTAGCTCTCAGAAACGTTTTACTAAAATACTGCAGCAAAAACAGTGGTTACAAGTATTCTCTCCCAAACCTCAGGAGGCTCAGGCTCCCCATAAATATACAGATTCAGGGCAGGGGGAGGGGAGGGAAATCAGCATGAATTTAAAATACCATAGTAGTGAGGCACACACAAACATACATGGCTAAGGTAACTGACTGCCTCTATGTCCTTTCTTTTCCCAGAAAAGGGGAAGTTCATCTTGAGACAGGAGGTCAATGTTGGTAACAGATAAATCACTCTGCCAGGTTTGGTCGATGTAGGAAGATAGATCTTGGATGGACAGGTCAACCCACTAGACTCCCTGGACTCACTATCTGATGAGCAGCTGAAGTCTTTATCACCTGCAGCCTCTGACTCAGCTGGGGGCAACTGTGTTCTTTTCAAAGGGAGTGTTGAGTGTTCATGTCAACCAGAGTGTTTACTGGGCTCCTCCAGCAAAGGAAGCAACCCCTAGCCTAGGACTGGCAGAAGCCTTTCCTCAGATTCCTTTAGGGCCTTGGCTCTGAGGTCCAGCCTCTCCTATTCTGTAATTCTTCCTGGATCATAACATAACCCCCTTAGTTAGGACTCTCAAGCCTCACTTATGGTAATCACCAGTGGCATTTCCTAGATTTTCATTAGGGATCTTATGTGAGTAGTTGGGGTCTGGATCTAGAGGTAGTAGTCTGTGAGTGAGTGAGTGAGTGTGTGTGTGTGTGTGTGTGTGTGTGTGTGTGTGTGTGTGTATGAGAGACAGAGAGAAATAGAGAGAAACAGAGAGAGAGAGAG